CCCTTTAAATAAACATATGTTAACAAGTTATTTTCTTGGCAGAAAGAGAAAATATCCTTTTCCATCTAAAAACAACATTTAATGATCTCCCAAAGAGGCATACTAACAGAAGCCAGATCATGCCTCTGAATCCATTTACTAGATCTCAAAGGTGTGTGTGTGTAGATCTGGATTCTAGCTTTTTATGGGGAAGGAGAGGGGAAGTAATGGGGAAAAGACAGTTACTTATCTGTATTGTAACTGTTTGACATTTGGGTGCAGACACTTATCCCACTACAGCTTTTGTTTGTCAGACCTGCACAACTTGTGTAGTAGTATTTTGAAGATCAGCAGTCACAATACAAGTAAATGTTTTTCTTCTGCAAGTGGTGGCAGTTGTAATATTCCACTCAACTGACTCACAAACTAAGCAGTGAGGCTTCTAGTCTACTTACACAACTGTACAACTTTTGTCCCATAGTTTGCCTCCCACCTAGATAATGCAGTAACAGCATAATGCTTGGTAAAAGTATGCATGGAAGACCATTTAGCATCCATACATATGTCCAATATTGAAGTATCACTCAGGACTGAAATTGAGGTCACCTGGGCTCTCAAATTATTCTATGTCTCTGGGGTGTAGCCTGAGCTAATCCAAAATCCATGGTCTGGAAGTCATCTGCATGGAGACTAGCCGACTTTTCATCCAATTGACATAGGAAACAAAACATATTTGATGTGTGTGAATAAAATGGTGTAGCACTTTCCAGATAGACAAACTGGTGCATGGCATTGTAACAATGATACTGCTCATCTGCACTTAAGTGTAGTTGAAGAAAGAATACAGTCAAGTAAATAACCTGATTAAGGTAAAACTGTGAAATCAGTATAGACAAAAACTTTGGACATGGTTTTTAGAATACTCAGTTTTTCAAGACAAAATATAGAGAGGCTGTCATTTGCTGGATGTTGTAGGCACAAGACTGTTTCCCTTCTTCCAAATGATAGCCCAGGAGTAGATTGTCATCAGCTCAAATGGAGGACCCTGAGGATGGCCAACACTTGGGTTCCACAATGGGTAATTCTGCTTCACAGGAGGAAACAGAGACTACACACCTTTCAGAAATCTCATTGCCATGGAGTTTTAGGAAAACCAACTTTACTTGGATCAGAGGATGGAACAACAAGTAGTGAACTGTCAACAAGAGAACTGTCAACAAGATAAGAGTCAGACCCAAGGACTTCAAATGTAAAGAGTAGTCCAAAATGTTCTGAACATGAGCTACCATGGGCTGAAATTTCCTTAATATGAATCAAACTGAAAAATACATCCTCTTAACCAGAGAAGTATGTCTAACTTTTTTTTTTTTTTTTTTTTTAACTATTAAGCAGAATCCTCTGAATTACATCTGAGGATTACCCTTCTTTCTTCTCTGACCTTATACCATCCATGTCATATGATGCAGATCACTCAGTGCTGAATAAACCTGATCATGGTAGTGAAATAGGTTCTGAAGCAGGTCAAAAGAAGCAGAAGCAATCTGGGTGACGGAACAAACATATTGAGGAAGTCGGAGAACCAACACAGTATCCTGGCTTGGTCATGACAAATATCAGTTGGCATGGTCCAACTTCAGTTTGAGGATATCTGAAAGGGGTACAGGGAAAGGCATACATCAGGTGCATTTCCCAGTTTAGATGGAAGGCATTGGTTAGATGTCGTGCAGCAGGAACTAAACTGATGGCTCTTTTTATTGTCCTTTGTTGCATCTAGGTTGATTAATGGGATGCCCCATTCCTTGAAAATGAGCCTCACTACACTGCTCTTTAGAGACCACTCATGATTGTTGGAGAAAGCCTTGCTGCTCAGCCAACTGGTTTTGAAAACCCAATAAGCATGCAATGGCTTCCTTGATTCAGAAGTGCCAAAAACGTATTGCTTCCTGATATAGTTGGAGTACCACTTCCCTGCTTGTTCACACAACACATCGGTGGTATTGTTGGTGAGTGTGGGAACCATTGCTTCCCTCATCCCAGAAGGCACTGTGAATGACTCAAAACTCCACTGCTTTGATATGACACAAAGCTTCCTGCCCTGACTGCAAACTCTAAATGTTTAGCATTCCTAGCTGTGTGTCTACAAGTGACTACAGTTCTGATTGGCATAGGATGGGTAAAGGGAATAATACCCTATGTGACAGATCAGGATGGTGAGGCACAGTAAAGTAGTAGAAGGCAGATATTATGGCCGTGGATAAGCAGTTTTCTGTTCCTGAAATAATCTGGAACAAAAGTTACTCCAGACCAATGTGATCACCTGATTCCAATTAAACTGCGGTTGGGGCTATTTGGCTAATATGGACTCCAAATAAGGCCCCACCCTTACTCACTAAAAGCTCTCCCTCTAGTCAGTCTCAAAGGCTATGTCTACACAATGAGTTCTCAGCAAAAATTATGCTAACGAGGGACTCATTTGCATGAGTCAATCTCATTCGCATATTTTCTGCCATCCATTTTTGAGCTAGGGGTTTTGCGCAAAACCCCCTTTTTCCACAAGATTGATATACCTCCTTTTTGAAGCATAAGGATTTTGTGGAAAAAGGTGTTTTTGCGCAAAAAGAAAACGTCCCCACTGCTTGTTTTTGCATAAAACCGGCTTGAATAAAATATGCAAATGAAGCACGGTAAAATGCTAATCCACAATTCATTTGCATAGGCACTGCCAGCAAAGCCAGCAGTGTAGACATAGCCAGAGAGGAAGCACGGCGGAAGGACTAGATAATAAAACACCAATTACGCTCAGGGAAGGGAGTCCTGAGGTAAGCGTGAAGGTGGTGTTGGGGGGGAGGGGAGAGGAGGGAGACAATGGGAGTGGGCCAGCGAAGTGCAGCACCTCTGGCAGTTAAGGAAAGCTGCTGCCACCACGGTCATAGGACTGGAACCCAGAGTAGAAGGTAGGCCTGGATCATCCCCCCCCGCCCAACCTTCCCCTGATCCACTATAATGACATACCTCTGAGAGGAGAAACAGGTTAAACTGATCTTATTAAACTTGAGGGGCAACAGAGACTGTGGAAGTTCTCCCACCAACCCCTTTGCTAGCCTATGATGGAAGTGGCTCTGTGGGCTGTGACCCTTGCCTCTAGTGAGAGATTTGCTAGCCTATGATGGAAGTGGCTCAGTAGGCTGTGACCCTTGCCTCTAGTGAGACGCACAATATTTTGAGGGTAACAGTAAGTCTCTGAGGCAAGCATAATTCTTCAGGAAGTGTAGGACTAGGGATGTTAAATAGAGGTTAGTAAGCTAATCAAGTAGTCGATGGAAGTTCCATCGACTACTTGATTAGTCAATAAGGGGGTTCATTGCAGCTCTGCTTTTTAAGACCGTATCGGCCTTATCAGCCATTTGCGGACATACCGTGGACAGTCCACAACCCGTTAGATGTCAAGGTCCTCTTCGAATACAATGGACGAACAACAACAGCTTTTTAAAAGTAGTAAGAGCTGCCGGCTCTTACTACATTTAAAAGGAAGAGCTGCAGCATTTCCAACTGGGCACAAGCTGGGACTGCTCGGTCCCGGGTCACACTGGGTCCTCCTCTGCGCCTCCTCTGTATTTAAAAGGAAGAGCTGCAGCATTTCCAACTGGGCACAAGTTGGGACTGCTCGGTCCCGGGTCACGCTGGGTCCTCCTCTGCGCCCCTTACTCCACCGCAGAGACGGTGCTGGGGGGAACCAGCTTTTAAGCATGCTCCCACACTCCCCCTCTTGCTGCCTCTGATACAGAGTGAGGGGGAGGGAAGCAACTAGTTGAGTAGTGACTTGACTAGTCACTTACATCCCTATGTAGGACACACCAAAGCAAGGTTGGAACTTCATCAGACCTATTACTCATTGTTCTGTTTTGCCCAACACTGTGGCATGTCCAGTATCTGGAGGCATAAACCTGTTCTGTAACAGTCAGCTCACAACAGACCAACTTTAACCATGACTAAAGAGGATGAAGACACCATCTCGGATGCTGAACCACGTAAGTAACTTCAGCTATACATGGACCACGGTTGGATGAGACTGGAGACCCAGACAACAAACAGAACTGATTGGAATCATTCATGTTAGAGAAAAGCCCTCAACCTCAGAGATTGTAATAGGCCCCACAGAACTTGACTTCTGAGTTGGAGTCCAAGTCAATCCCAAATCAAAGAGGTCTAGCGAGAACTGAGGAAAAAGAGTAGCCTTGATAACCCTGCAGAAACTCAAACTTCAATTGTTGAGACCACAGGGAATGAAGATAGGTTTCACTTTTTGCTTGGACTTGGGGATCAGTAAGTACTAAAAGTAGAATCCCTTTTTACCATGAAAGAGAACCTCTTCTATAAGGGATCCCCCACAAAAGGAATGGGACCAAGGCCTGATAACACAGTAAAGCTGAAGAGATACCTCTCAAATTTCAAGCATGTTAATGTGTGGCAAGTCACTGAAATAACTGACCACTGACAAAAATCTGTTTCACATTTCAGTTGTACATCAAGCCATATTTAAGTTTAAAACTTGTTTAGAAAGAATACTCCTTCATTGTATTGCTCAAAGCATTTCTGAAACAGGATATGTATGGGGGAGGTTGTCTCTGCCCAGAATATTCTGTAATTGGGGAGAAACTCTATGTGGTTTTATCATGGAATACTAATATTAAAGGTTGCCCCTGCATAGGCTTAGCTGAATACAATTAATTCATGGCACCTTCCATTCATCACTCATGTCCAAATACACTTAATTCACATAAAAATCTGCCTCTTTGCATTGCTTCATAGCTAATGCTTACAACAAGGTTCTCTTCTGCTGTGCAACCGCTTCATCCTCTTGAGATGCTTCTGAAAGAGTGCACAGCTGCTCAGCAACTGTTGGTGGAGGTAGGAGGCCACAGGGTGGCTGTTCATAGGCTGGAAGGCTAACGGTTCAGGGCCCTATTTAATTCACTCATCCTAAAAGTGGAAAGTTTTGTGTTCCAGACACCTCTCCCCCACCCTAACTCCCAGAAATGTAAGCTTCAAGGCTCCCTCCCTCGGACACCTCTTTTGATACTTAGAATGAAGGGTAGGAAAACACAAGTGTGCCCTTGCTGTCTAAGGATAGTTTCCTTCTTCTATTACACTGGTCTACAATTTTTTAGAAGTTGTCTGCTTCAGAGATAAAATGTGCTATTTATTATGTATTTTGATGTTTTGAATTCAAATATGACAATTAAAACAACTGATTGGCTACTGTTTCCAAGATATTTAAGTTTTTACATTTTACGTCTATGTATATTGTGTAGATAGTAGAGTTTTAATCATAAATTGTAAACCTAGGTCTTTTCACGTGTTTATGGTTGCTTTACATGATAATATTTCACCTGTCCTGTTTATGTAACACTTTAAAAATCAGCAAAAGGGTTATATAAATAAAATTTATTATGAAACAAAAGGCAAAAAACTATTATGTACATAGTTTAGTCCTATTCAGTGTCTACTCGGCGCTTCTTGGCTTGTCTCTTGTATTCATTAAATGGAGCATCTCTTGTCACTGTCCAGCAATAGTCTGCAAGCATTGATGGGCTCCATTTGCCCTGATAGCATTTCTCCATTGTTGCAATGTCCTGGTGAAATCGCTCGCCGTGCTCGTCGCTCACTGCTCCGCAGTTCGGTGGAAAAAAAATCTAGATGAGAGTGCAAAAAATGTATCTTTATGACGTGCTGCAACCAAGGCTTTTGAATGCCTTGAAGAGGTTTTCCACCAACAACCTGTAGTTGTGTGCCTTGTTGTTTCTGAGAAAATTTATCGCCACTAACTGGAAGGCTTTCCATGCCGGCTTTTCCTTGCCATGCAGTGCATGGTCAAATGCATCATCTCGAAGAAGTTTGTGAATCTGAGGACCAACAAAGACACCTTCCTTTATCTTAGCTTCACTTAACCTTGAAAATTTTCCACGGAGGTACTTGAAAGCTGCTTGTGTTTTGTCCATGGCCTTGACAAAGTTCTTCATCAGACCCAGCTTGATGTGTAAGGGTGGTAACAAAATCTTCCTTGATTCAACAAGTGGTGGATGCTGAACACTTTTCCGACAGTCACTGGAGCCTGGGAAGAGTGGCCAATCTATCTTGATGTAGTGGGAATCTCTTGCACGACTATACCATTCGCAGAGAAAACAGCAGTACTTTGTGTATCCAGTCTGCAGACCAAGCAAGAGAGCAACAACCTTCAAATCAC